GCTGTAATCCACATTAACCCACCCATTCTACAATTGACATGCAGCTTACCAGAGCCAAACATATCCACATCCTTTTTGGATCTGTTCATTGGAATGTTTTCAGCAGCAGGACGGGGCAGAGCAGATTGGACAGGCAGCTGTTTGTGTCATCTGTCAGTGTTTTAGGGCGGATTAGAGGTGAGATGCTACAGCTGACAGCTCCCCTGGCTGCCTGGACGCCACACAGATACCAGGCCCTTTAATGGATCTAAACCCCGTGCCAGCACATGGAGACGTGAGTATGTGGTACTATCTGCTTAATTCAATAATAAAATCACCTATTGAAATGGAGTTCATTTAAATTAGGGGGGAGAAAATAGAAAGAAGCACAGGACGTCCGAGAATTGGTGCTCCAGCTGCACAGTAGCACAAAAAACTGTATTTGAGTGTCGACAGGAGTCCTTCACAATAGAGCTGTGAGTGGAGAGTTCATTTGAACTTAAAGACACAATGCAACTTATTTTGACTAACAGCATCAAAATGTGTGGAGGTCAAGTCTCAGATTCCCTAAGGCAGAGCAAGTTCAAGAGTAATGTTGAATTGTGCATCAGAGACTTAGAAGTATTTTAAAAGTAGGAGTAGAAGTTTTAAAAGTTAAGATTGTTGTCATCTCTTTATGATTTGTGAAAAACTCCATAACGATGTGGTGTAAGTGTTTATGTCCAATACTCAACAAGGAAAATTTTGAAATATGAAGAATTCTGAACAGCTCCACTCAACATATGTATAGTCTTTTGTATTTTATCTACATGAAAAAGACTTTGTCATTCTAACACAGAGCCCATCAGCATGAATCACCACACATAGCTGCAGAGGGCGCTGTTGCTTAGTTATTGTTCATTGCTTACATGTCAGAGCAGTCACTGAGATCAGTCCTACCATTGAAATAATTTAATTTGATGTATCTGCTCATACAGTATGATTGATCAACAAAATAACAAGAGTAATGATTTTGGTCCAAGTCAGCATGAAATGCACTGCATCAAATCAATTGTGCAGTTTTGTGCTCAGAACCAAACAGCTTCCACATGAAGTTATGGCCACATTGACATGTCTGACATATAGTTGCATTTAGTTAAGCCCAGTAGAAAAATGTCAACAAGATCTGTCTTTTACAAAACAGAATAGTTAGCAATAAACCGGAAACAGGCACAATAAAAGCAGGAATGCTTTTGTAAATTGATATAGACCAATTAGTCAGTCAACACTTGGAGCACATCACATTGATGTTGTCGTGAGCAGGACCTTTAAGAGTGTGTATATACAGTATGTGTGTGTGCGTGCATGCAAATGTGTTTGTGTGTGTGTTCGGTGGGGTTAGATATTTCAGTGTTTTTCTCAGACACCCACACAAGATAGAGTTCAGCATAGCTCTCGTTATGCTTTTCTATTACACTCTGACAGGTTGTGTTATGTGTGTATTACTGAAAAGCTCAGTCAGAGTAAATTGTTGAATGTTGGGTGTGTAACTTAGCTGTACTCTGGTCTCAGGGAATCATATGGAACTTCTCTCTGATGCCTGCAGATGTCAGCAAAAGTATATCATACATAACACAGTACATAACAGTTTGTAGTGGATAAGATGATGTTGCAGTTGCACCAAAGACTGATCAAGTAGAGCCATCTTATTTGGATGTAAAGATATATACTCAGGGTTCTTACATATAATACAAATTAATTTCAGGAAATTATCAAACTATAAGTTTTCCATGTTGTCCTATTTCCATTACATAGTCAGACCTATATTGCAACCATAGGTCACAATAATTAGCCTCTTACCAGTGCACTGAAAATGTACGTATGTGATAAAGTGACATTTCACATTTTGCATCTTCAGCTGACCTGCTGTGAACTGACTAATATAATCATGTTCACACGAGCAATTATCTGAAAATAAGCAATTAAAGAAACTACTTTCTAGAAATAGGAAAGTAACTAAGTTACCTGCAAGTCACCTTCCTGCTGACATTAGACAGTCTGACTTTACTGTTTATTATTTTATTTTTTTAGGCCATGTTTCAATTGCCTCATTGGGTGGAATTCAGCCCTGGAACTAATTTATTTGATTCTATAAATATAAATGACTTAACTCTATGAGGTTTTTAACTCATGTTCAGTCAAAGCTCTTTGAGATTAGCTGATGTAGTCCTTTACCGGCACCATTTCATCATGTTCATTACAACAGATTTTAAACTGGTGATTTATCGAATGATCCCTTAATTTTTCATCTTTCCACACATTTATGAGGCCCTAAACATGCTCCAAAACTCCAACATCTTTGCACACTCGTCTGATCTGGCAATAAATTATTCAATTCTATGGGACTTGCACATGGTGAAATGGTTCAGTTGCATCATCTGTTTAAGAAAAAACAGACCCCCTGGGTTGTTGACTTGGCTATAGATGTGTCATATTTAGGAGAGACATCAATTAGGCAGAGACTTTAAAAAAGCTTCTCGGAGCCATAACCTAACCCCAACAGGAAGTCCTGCATTTTAAATGTTTTCTTGCAATTTTCTCAAAAATGTATCCAAAGGTATTAATCTGATCAATCTGTCTAATCTTAAAATGCTGATAATGTAAAAGTGTTGAAAGAAATGTTATTTTGATGAAACATTATGAAATTCAATAATATCAGCTAAGACTTAAAGAACGTCTCTGGGGTTCATGACTGAAATCCGACAGGAAGTCAACAATTTAGCATTTTGTGTAAAAAATACCTTTATAAAATATAGGGTCATGTACTTCTGCCTTCCAGCAGAGAACAGTGTGTGTGTGTGTGTGTGTGTGTCTGTGTGTGTGTGTGTGTGTGCGCGCAACTATCTATAGTTATGAGTGCCAGATTTGGTTCTATACCGTCATTGTGAGGACATTTTGGCTGGTCCTCACAGATTAAATCGGCTTTTTGAGGGTTAAGACTTGGTTTTAGAATTAGGTTAGGGTAAGGGAGTTAGTTGTGATGGTTAAGGTTAGGGTGAGGGGCTAGGGAATGTATCTATTTGAAGCATCTTTTTCTCCAACTTTATGAGCACCATTTACATGCACATGATTCATTCACACAACAGTCAGCTCCTTTAAGTGCTGCTTGCTCAAATTATACAATTATTTAGTTGACCTTATTATGACTTCATTCATATTTTATCTATTCATGTTAAGGATATTTAGGACGTGTGCA